ATCTATTGATGAAAATCGACAAATTAGCCAAAGAAGAGGCGAAGATAGAACTTCAATTGAACGACAGATGTATTGAAGATACTTACTTCTCCAACAACTAGAAGCATCAATCACTCACTATCAATAGAAGAAATCCAGACGAAGTCCAGTGACTCGCATACTTGTCTTAGACGGCATTGTTGTTTCAACTAAAGACGACAGACAGCAGAGATGAAGATGTCAAAGTCACCCAGCCACTGATTGAAAAAGCAAGACACACCTTCACTTTTTTCGACGAAATCAATATGGAAACCTTCTGCATTCAGCATAAGGAAGAAGATACAGATTTTCAACACTGATGTCGAGTCAATCACAGTACTTCTGTGGTGAGAGCAGCCTACTAGCCAATTGGTTGACATTAATCAAACGTCAATGTCTAGCTCACTAATATTGGCCGTGAGAAAATATGAACAAGGCTGTTTCAACAACCAACCAATCACAGCAAACTTAAACGTGGCCAAATATGATTCGCAGATAGATGGCTCCACTTTCTGAGGAACCCGAAAACCACCAATCAGAAGACTGCGCTTGTCTACCTGACTAGACTATAATAATGTATGTGAAGTTTATATAAATACGTGTTGATTTCCGTAATAAAACGATCTGTTGCCTGGCCCTTGTTTTCTGTTGTTACACTTTTTTATATATGGTTTAAAGACTTGGCGGTCATGTTACCCAAAACCAATCCCCCCTCCTCAGGCTATTGCACAATTTTATCAGTAAATTTTTCCTTCGCTTTGGCCAGAAAGAATTAGCTACAAAGAAGTCTATCGACAAACCAACCAAGAACCTGCTGGCTAACAAATATATCAAAGGGAGATGCAGATGGATTGGGTACACTGAGCGGATTAGACCTTTAACTTGAAACCGAATGGCAAACGACAAGTTGCTGATGACTCCATGTGGAGTCACATAGAGGAAATCGCGTTGTAGAGGAGATAGGAGTTTATAGACAGTCATGCAGCCAGCTGATGAAGGCTGTAGAGAACAAGACAGAGTGGTAATATGCTGCTAAGGTCTTTGTTCTACCCAAAATCAAGGGAAATAATAAAATAAAATCTGCATTCAGATAAATAGACATCACAAAACAAAACGCTCAACAATGGCAATCTAAACAGCTGAAAGGCCAACACTATGCAAACATTGCGTGCAAACATACGTCTTAAGCACAGTTATAATTTAGTCTATACAGTTTATGTAATAAGGTGAGGCTAAAATTGTCTGCATAGAAGAGCTCTGTCAAACTAAAGTGATGCTCACTAGTGACTGGCCCAATTCAGGTAGGTGGGGAGAACAAACCAACTAAAAGACCAACGCTCAACAAATATGTAAGAGAAGATGGAGACCGTTGTTTCACGTAAGATTTCGGGAGGATAGATGAGTCAAAAAGGGTCAAAGAAAAAAAATAAGCAAGACGGTTAACTTGAAAACACTATGATCCCTACCATAATAATAATAAAAGTCAACGGAAGATTTTCTTTTCTATGCAAAGCTGCTATTTCTCCAACTGGATGACTAGAATTTCAGTAATGCAAAGGAGACGAAAGCAGTTTGCCTTAGGCAGGTAGATCACCTTAAAGTAGTAGATTGTTGAAATAGAGTAACCAATGTCTACAAGGTATTCAATTACTAAGTTAAACATCAGATATGAAAGTGAATGATCATGAATAACAGGGTATAGAAAGTGATGAGTACTGATGGTTAATTCTCAAATGTCAAAGAGGAAAAGAGAATGAGGTATATGTATATGTGTGTGTCAGTGAGTAAACGAACAACTAAGGATAAATTAAGAAATTAACAAGTTGGTTTGCGCAACAGTAAACAGCAATCTAATCTGTGTACGATTGCAGTTTGAAGGTGATCTGATGTGGTGACCTGGATCTGGGAAGAAAAGGTGCCAGTTCGAGGAAAGGGTATCCAATGGTCACGAACAGCCTAGCTGTTTTCATCGTGTGATTAGTAAAGTGATTACATCATCGTCTGTGTTCTACCTCTCAATCATACTTCGCCATAGTGTGTTCGAGCTTCAATCGTCTGTCAACTGTCTATTACAGGACATGATGAACCACAGAAACCCCTTCAAATCAAGACGAGATGTCAACGGTCTGGAATTAACTGATGATCTCTGCCCATCTGAAAATAAGGAAGATAGGAAACTCCCATCAATAGAACAGTCGTCAGGTTAACTCGTGACATCGATTTTTACACCTCAAATAGATTTAGTGCAAGCGATTGTAACACCAATTCAGACGGCATTTGCGATGACCGATAAGAAAGAATGGTTGGCGAGTAGCAAGTTCAATGTGAAGTCCGCCGTACCCGACACGTCTATCCTAGACACATCTTTACCCTTTAGGAGGAGTACGGTCAATGGACACCTTCTTTTTTCAAACTGGTGCCTTTTTCTCCAGACCCAAGTCACTACATATATCAAGTGAAGTAGTAATCAAAACGGTAAAAAAAATCATTTCAAAGAAATTTTTAATGCCAGTAAGCTGCAGCTCACATTTTCTAAACACCTCATTGTTATTCAGAGGCCGAAAGACAAAGTGACTATGCTCGCCACCTCTCCCTACATCCATCAGTTCAAGTACTCTCGCTGGTTGCTATAGGAACATTATACCTACCAGTATTGCTAAACAGTGGTGTAGTGAAAAGCATTAACATTTTAGTATTACTATATATATATATATATATGGTCCAAAAGACAATAAGGCGGATAGAGAAGAATCCTTTCCAGTAGTCTCATCTCTGTCTGTCTGTTTTCGACGTTGAACTTTGCACATATGTGCGGAAGTTCAAGTCGCCACACTCCCTTCATTTAGCACAGAAAGCAAGAGAAGAAAGTACAAGAAAAGCAAAATAGAGACAGTAACCAGAGGTGTGAGACTAAGGAATAGTAATAACGAAGAACAAAACAGTTTCATTGGAAATCAACAGTCACAAGGAGTGGATGCATCTGCGCCAGCCAGCCATTGAGAACGATTTTGAGCCATGTCACCAATTGTTTCCAACCATTGGTTTTTACCGTCCCGAGGACCCCAGCCTGGAAGTCTACACCTTCCTACATGGCTGGCTTAGACCAACTGTTGTGGATTTCATTGACTGGTGAGGCCAAGTTTTTGTTTGACCGCCGCTAGCTGTTTTCCAGCCTGACCCTATATCCGCTAACATTGCTCATCGAGGGAGGCGATGGCTTGGCATACGTAACACATGTCCTAACCATCTCAGTCTTTGTAACTTCACGACTTCGTCGATTGATTTCCCCTGTTTACCTAGAACTCGACGCCTAACCTCAATGTTGCTCACCTTATTATGCCACTTTACACGGGAGATAGAACGCAGGCACCTATGATCAAAGACAGCTAATTTTTTCATGTCTTCCACTCTCAGTGGCCAGGTCTCACAGCCATAAAGGAGGACGAAGCGGACTGATGTAGTCTCATATATATATATATATATATATATATATATATATATATATATATCGAATAAACTGCCTAAAACTACTTCGTAGTGAATATACTAAGCAATAGAAGCCATGAAAAATCGCTTGAACTAACCGGAATTTTGTGTACAAAAGGAATAAGTCTGGCTAATAATTCAGTGATGAGTGCTACTGATAAGATTTATCAGTAGTATAAAAACATAAAATATCAAGGAGATACATTTGATGTCAGAGAAGGTGGATGGCATAGCGGTGTGAAGATGCATAGGGAAACGTGTAAGGAACACAAACAAACACAATATGAAGGCCAGAAGTACCACAACACGAAGGTCTGTGCAAATTGTGCGTTGAGCATAAAGTGTACATAATTTGCCTGTATCACGTCAGCTCATGATGAAATCCACCAACCAATCAAACAAAAAATCTCTACTAAAACCAATACTTGGAAATTGATCTGATGCTCTCTAGCAACTGGGGTTCTAGTGGGGAGCTGTGATCAGTAGGGTGCACCAGGTTGAAGGTGAGGCAGTAACTCATCCAAGAAGACACTGTGAAGTGGTTGTGCTATATCATGAATTGGTAGAAGTTAGAATCCATAGGCCGACTGGCTGTTGGATCGGGTCTCAGTGGCTGATGAATGAATTCGCCCCGCCTTGTAACCAGAAGATCGTGAGTTTTAATACCCCTGTGTTGGGTGCGTGCGTACTGGTGAAGAGTCCCAAACTAGGCTGACGAAACAGCTCTATGGCAGTACTCCAGTGCTGGTTTCTAATGGTTCTGATGTCAGCTCATGATGAAACTCTCCAGCCAATCAAACAAAAATAGTCCCTACAATAATAATAGTTTGATTTATTCCAAAACAGTACTTGAGTTACAGAATGGAATTCTCAGCATCCAGTTAGAACATTAACAAATTCTACATAGATTAAGGGTAATCTCGGTTAGTTATGACAACAACATATTGGCATGTCAGCAGCAAAGCCGAAAATGAACAGAAGTGTTTGAAGGTGTTAGAAAAGTAGATACTACTAGCATATTTACTGGCGTAAGCGGTAAGAAAATGGTCGAGATATACAGAGTGTGTGAAAGAACAAAGAAGAATGTAGAATGTAGAAGAAGTAGAGTTTGTAAGGAGATAGAGAGAAAAGGAAAAGAAATCAATACTTGACAATAAGTGAATTATCTCTGAAGTATTGTGAATGCTTTTCAGGTAAATCACTGAAAGTTTTCAACGAACATCCGAAGAATCGATACCACGCACGCACGCACACACACACACACAGATAGAAAGAAACAACAATATCTTTTCATCTATTTATTGAAGGATCATGATCTCATGTAACTTGTTTCTTTTCTTTTCATATAAGGACGGCTGATTACAGAAGAGAATCATAAGAATGAACAACACTCACCAAAATACACATAAGAGAACACGATTAATTTTCATTAATTCTCAAATATTGTCATTACATAAATAGACCGAGGCTTAATATATATCTTCATAGGAAAATAACTAAACTGGAATGCATTCTGTTTTATTGTCTTTAGTAATTAATTGAATTATACTTCCAGATTGTGGACGACTGTCGACATCTTCTAGCCAAGAAAGGCATAATCTGTTGAAAAGTATAAATAACAACGATTGGTGAACCAATAAAATCATGGAAACATTTGTGACATGTTTTAGCAGATAAACATCTATTCGATCAATGTAAATGTATCAACGAGAAGAAAAGAAATGGAGATAATGCCGACTGATTCCATATTAGTTTGTTTATTAGATGTATCACACAGTCAGTGAAACAGTATCAGTATTTACTAGATGACAAAGTTTCCAACACAATTTATCGTTCATAATCATATCATCAATTATAATCACACAACTTCGAAACTTGACTTTCATAGTTTTCTTTGTTCTCTCCTACTTGTCGTCGTTGTGCGGTAGTAGAATTTCCCAGATATCTGGGTGGACAGATGTTGAATCATTCCTATTACACGTATTCTCTTCAGTTGATTCGATAATCAAACCTTCCGTTGACATCAATCTCTCCCTCCACCAAGTTAGTTGTATTAGATTTTGAAACTGTCATCTTATCCAATCCAGCCTATTGTATGGTTGTGTGTGTAGTGGTATGTGGTGTAGTGCTATAGCTGAACTATTCTCTAGATTTCTTATCTTATTCGGGTCAAATAACCTGGATTTTGCTAATATAACAGAGTTGAGGGATAGGTTGATAACAGAATTACGGCCGATGAATGTAAATCACCAGTAGTAATTCCATACGGAGGAGAATTCTTAACAATGCTGGCAGGAATAAAAGTGGCTGGCATTCAAACCCACCCACAAACTCAATTAGACACAAGCTTTGTCGATTAAAGAATCCTACCACTGGAGCCTTTAAAACAAAACAATTTAGTTTATCTAATACCCTGCCCGCGATGATCGTCAGGTGAAACATATATGAGTCAAAGTAGTAGAACAGGAGCAGTCAGACTAGCAGAGCATAAAAACCTAGCGAAATCTAGATTAATTGATCCGAAAAAGATAAGAAATCTAGAGAATAGTTCAGCTATAGCACACACTACATGCAACTACACACAACCATACAATAGGATGGATGGGATAGGGTGACAGTTTTAAAATCGAATGCAACTAACATGGTGGAGGGGGAGATTGATAACGGAAACTTTGTTTATCGAATCAACTGAAGAGAATACGTGTAATAGGAATGATTCAACATCTGTCCACCCAGATATCTGGAAAATTCTACTACCCCACAACGACGACAAATGGGAGGAGAGAACAAGGCAAATTATAAAAGTCAAGTTTCGAAGTTGTGTGTGTTATTATGATTGATGAAATGATTATGAACAACAATAGATTGTGTTTGAAACTTCGTCATCCAGTAAATAATAGTACTGTTTCACTGACTGTGTGATACATCTAATAAACATACTAATATGGGATTAGACATTTGTAAAAAATTATATTTGTAAAATCTCAGCGATATTGAAATGAGTAATTCCAACGTTTTGTTCGTCAACCTGGTCCGAACTTCTTCAGGGAAATTAATCGAAATTAACATAACAGAGGTTTATATATAAAAGGAACATCTCTTGTTTTAAAAACTTCGTCCAATCATGGTTCATAAAACAAGTATTAACAACTATAATAAACAAAACTGTATGAGCTGTGATCAAAATTTGACCTCGGACTTACAAATATTGAACTACCTTTGTTAAACACTTTAAACACAGTGTGTGCGGATAAACAGTTGTAAAACAATGTCTTAACATCTCCATAAGTAGATATAGACAATCGGGAACTTTGACCAAGTATTATTAATTAATTAGTGATACATATCCAGTTTTACTTATTAATCAGGATTGTCCTATGCATCAGCTAACACACCTCACACCTTCATGTCTGTTCAAACTGTTAGTATCTAGAATCTTATGATTAGACGTATTTTCAAAATTATGCTGTTTAGGATTAGAGTTTAGTTGAAATACACCCTGTCAAACTTATTGCTTTGTCTTCTTTCTGAAGATTGAGCTGTTTTATTCGACCTACTGGAGAGTTGTCAAGTGACTGGACAGCTACGGATTTAGGATATACATTCTGTTGCACACATCGGAGAGTAAAAACACGATGATTGTGCTAATTACATAGTTTCTTTGTTAATTTTATTCGATTGCAAAATAATTCAAATGAACTTTAGTCAAAATTTGACAGAATGGTTCTAAAATACTTGGGCGCCGAGTGAGAAGTAGACATTTGTAAAAACAAATTATATTTGTAAAATCTCAGCGAGATTGAAATGAGTTAATTTCCCTGAAGAAGTTCGAACCAGATTGCCGAACGAAACGTTGGAATTAATCATTTTAATCTCGCTGAGATTTTACAAATTTAGCTTTTTTTACAAATAATAATAATATAATAATAATCACTTTATTCCACAACAATAAAAATTTACAGCATGGAATTTTCAGCGTTTCTTTTACATATTGCAATGGTTTAGCTCTGTTTATAATTATATAAATGTATAAAATGTTAAAATATTGATAGTTAATAGGAAAAAACAAAACAAAAAAAATAATTAAAAAAAAACCCAACAAAATCACACCATTCTATGTCATAGTGAATAATAAATAAATAATATAACGAATAACACATGCATAATAATATGCTTCATTACATTTTATAGTTTAGTTATTGATTCAAAAGTTGCAAAATGTCTACTTCTCACTCGGTGCCCAATTATATTTTAGAACTATTCTGTCAAATTTTGACGACAGACAGTTCATTTGAATTAATATGGAATTACTTACTACCACAGTGTCCAAGTTTTACACATATATTAAAATACTGACTGATGATAGAGTTCTTTCTGAGATGCACTGACAGAATCCTTACCGACACCGGAGTTAGGTTGAATGGTTTAATAATCTATCCACATGTGGGTAAATATCCTGGAGATTATCTACTTTTTTTCTTAATGCTATACCATTTGATTTAATTGATCTCAGCACGATGATAATATCATCTGGACAATAAAGTTCACTGGCGATAGTCTATACACACGAAGTTACTCGAGGCTCTAGTGAGATGTCGTGACCAGGCGGGTGTTCTACTTCAAATCAGGTAAGAGAACAGTTATTCGTCTGAGACAATCACTGGCTGAACGACCTACCTCATAGCCAGAAAATCTTGGGTGCGTTCGATTGAAGAGTCCTAAACTAGGACGAAATAGCTTTCCAATACTTCCTGGTTTTCTAACGGTTCTCTAATTGATACCAGCTCATGATCAAACCCTGTAATAAAATGCCTATCTGTCCTGGACTAGTCCATTTATTCTGTTGATAGGCTCAGCACCATTCTGCAGCAGTTTACACCAGATCAAACCGAAAACTGTTTGATCTCGTAGTTATTGGAGATGTAAAGTTGGGTGATTATGCTGGGGTGTCAGTGGTATTGCAAACAAAAGGTACTCAACTGTCTAATCCAAAAACTTAACACTTACTCAAAGCAAATAATATTCTATGCTCGTAGGTGGGATGTTCAAAACCGTACTTCACATATTTTCCCTTGGACAACCGAGTAATATCACTGGACCTCAGGACATTTAGAGCAGTAAACACGTATATCACAGTACCCATCCGTACAGTTACATCTCCTTGCCTAAGTTTGCTGTATTTTAAGAACTACTGTAATGTGATGTTTTATTTCCTCGATTGAAAGATGAAGTACCTAGACTAGCTAGCCAATTCTAATTGTATTTTCCAATTCAACTAAGTTGATGGTGGAGCGGGTTACATTGGCCGTTGCTCTAGGGACTTGATTTCTCTCGTGCTCTCTCGGGAACATTTACCAGTGTGGTGAAATAAAGGTGTAGTACAAACTATCAACAGCTCGATATTAGAACACTTGGTCCAAACTGGCCACAAAGCTAATACTGAAGACTCCTTCTCCATCGCCTATCTATCAGGTTCCAAACAAATTGTTAAAATCATCCAGGTGCCGCGTACTCCAAACAGCAGAGGCTATGGTAATTCGCTTGAGACAACTGGCGCTCTGTGTGCAGAAGAAACAGTTCAAAAAAAACTGTTACTGCCTTGGCCTGCTGTGGAGTTCACAAATTCATAAAGACCTTATTTTACATGGGCCCTTTTGTTATGATCCCTCCCCCCCCCAATCTTGTACATATAAATTCCTCTAAACCCTTGTCATTACATTTGCATTAACTAGCCTTTTCTTTTCTTATTTTGAATGTAGTTGTCAACTTACACACACACACACAACGCACATAAATTGCAACCCAAAAAAAGCCCTTTTACTCTACTCCCATATCCTTGACATGACCACTCATCCATCGAAAGTTTACAACCAATATGAATGGAACCTAATATGAACATGACTCATGAGAATTTATTACTATACATTCATTATCGCTCATAATCATTTACTTTTTAATACTGGGGTTCAATTTAGTATTACAATTATACATATTACCACATTTTTCTCCTTCGCGTTCCCCAGTGGAACATAGGGCTTCAAGCTAGTGGCTTGAAGTTTCTGTGGCAGTGTTTATTTTTTACAGGATAGGGTTGCTAGCCTCATGCCCAACCCTTCCTCTTTACCAGCATTATTTCTAGCTTAGCGAGGTAAAGGAGTGCGGCGTCTGTGGTCAGGGATCGAACCCCGAACCATGTGCATGGTCGGCGAGCGTCTTAACCGCTATACACCACCGACGCACACATATTACTACATACGCATATATTTTGGACTATAATCTATTAACAATTTTCTATGTTTGGTTAGAAAGGATTAGATTTGTTTTTAAGAGTTGATCGCAATTCGATTGCGATATAACTTTTGGAGTTCTGAACTCAAAATAATTCGATTTTACTCTCTTTTTAAAAACCACTAATGTTGTCGTTAACAATCATTCTGTCATTATTATGGATGGATATATAATTGTAGAACCTGATGATGAAGAAAAGCATATCGAAAATAATACTCTTTGTTTAATAATCAGTCTTTGCCTAAAGGGTTTGCAGTTTAAAAAAAGATATCAGAAATAATTGGAGGATTCTTTTTTGGGGAGTCTTCAGCAGTACGCACCCACCAGCCGGGGTTCGAACTCCGGACCTTCTGGTTACAAGGTGAGCTCGTAGACCATTGAGCCACTGGAACCCGATCCAATGGTTCTTGAATTCTAACTTCTGCCAATTCACTATATAGAGCGACCATTTCGATGAGTAACTGTCTCATCTTCAACCTGCTGTATCCTACTGGTCACAGCTCCTCGTTTGGTTCGTACTGATGAAGAGTCCCAAACTAGGCTGACGAAACAGCTGGCTGTCCAGTACTCCCACGTTTTCCAGTGTTTCTCTAACTGATGTCAGCTCATGATGAAATCCTTCATGCAACCAAACAAAATCCCTACAAATCCAGTACTTGAATGCTTCTTTTGTCAAAAGAAGAATTGCTTAAAAGTGTTGCTTTCTACAAACAAAACTGGAACTTACTCAGCCACTGTTTCAGTCGGTGTCCATGTTGTATGATCTGCTTTTGGCATCCATTTTCTGTTCATAGGAGTATCCAAAGTTATTCTGTAATCATAACAACATAAGAGATGCAGAGAATTGAAGATGGTCAGATATTTTAGAATGGGCATGCGGTGAAGTGAATCATTTGTGCGTCGGTGGCACAGTGGTTAGGACTCTCGCCGACCATGCACATGGTACGGGGTTCGAGCCCACGCTGGCGAACACCTGATATCTATGGTCGGCCTGCGAAATTTGGGCTACCGATATCACATGCTGAAAATTCCACACCTGTACCAAAAAATACAGTGTGGAATCAAGCTGTAATCAAAAAAAAAATTACAGAAATTACCAAAATGGGATTTTTGGACGTCTTAATCAGGCGGACAACCACAGGGGAATTAGAAATGAAAGTTTATAGAAAATCAACTCACACAGACCGAATACTGAATTACGACATCAACAACAATCTAACAACACACAAAAGGAATTGCATACAAACACTATTCAAGGCAGCCAGCCAGGACTCATTGCAGCACTCCCAACTTAAGGAAAACCGAAGAAAGATATCTCATGGACGTCTTTAGAAAAAAAATGGATATCCACAGAATTTCATCAAAAGAGATATACCCCCAAAGCCGCCAACCTATCAAATCAAAGGCCCCCAAGGAAAGTGCAAAGAAAATCGCCCTACCACATATAAAGGACATCTCAGAAATCAATGCAAGACTCTTCAAACCTTCAGGAATTCACGTCGCACACAAACCAATAAAATCACTTCACTCAGCCAGGCAGCCAGCCCTATGTCAAACAAAAGACTCAACAGAGAACGAAAGAAGATGAAACCAACATCATTTACAAAATAAGTTTCAACGACCGCAAAAAGCGCTACTTGGCCAAAGAGGACATCCTTCCTCTTCCTCTTTGTATCGATGAACATAAACTAGCCTTGAAAAGACATGACATCCACTCCCTCCCTCATATTGCCTCACTGCATGCAGACAACCACGGACATCAATTCGACTGGGACAACCAACGTTCAAATATTAGACAGAGGAAACATCAAGAATGCTAGCCAGAGAATTTTTAGAAGTTTGCCTGGTACAAGAAGGGAGACAAGTCTTCCTGTGATAATCACAGAAGGATTAGCTTGACTAATATAGTATCTAAAGTCTTAGGCTCAATAATCATTCGTAGACTAAGTGGTGCTCGGGAGGCACAAACACGAGAGAGCCAGGCAGGCTTTAGACCAGGAAGAGGGTGTATTGATCATATCTTCACCCTCCGACAGATTCTAGAACATAGGCATTCCTACCGGCGTCCAACAATCATTATATTTCTTGACCTAAAGGCAGCATTCGACTCTGTCGATCGAGAAGTTCTCTGGAGATGCGTGGCTGTAAAGGGAATTCCGAGAAAATATATTGCACTGATTAAGCCACTCTACTCGTACTCATACAGCCAGGTGAGGGCTTACGGCGAGCTGTCATCTGAACTGATGACGACCAGTGGTGTCCGTCAAGGATGCCCATTATCTCCTTTTCTATTCAACTTCATCATAGATGTGTGTGTTAATGGACTTAACCCTAAGTGACTTCAGCGACTCAGGGATTGACTTGCTACCAGGGAATAATCTCGTTGACTTGGAATATGCAGACGATATAGTCCTTCTAGGCAAAGACGCTGACGAAATGCAGAGTCTTCTAAACACCTTGAGCCGCAATCTACGAATGTTTGGCATGCGATTCGCTCCCGCCAAATGCAAGATGATGTTACAGGACTGGACTACATCGACGCCTAGTTTAAAAATAGGAAGTGAAGTGGTTAGGCGTAGAGTTCTAGGTAAACAGGGGAAATCAATCGACAAAGTCGTGAAGTTACAAAGACTGAGATGGTTAGGACATGTGTTACGTATGCCAAGCCATCGCCTCCCTCGACAAGCAATGTTAGCGGATATAGGGTCAGGCTGGAAAAAAGCTATCGGCGGTCAAACAAAAACTTGGCCTCACCAGTCAATGAAATCCACAACAGTTGGTCTAAGCCACGTAGGAAGGTGTATCCTTCCTGGTTGGGGTCCTCGGGACGGTAAAAACCAATGGTTGGAAACAATTGGTGACATGGCTGAAAATCGTTCTCAGTGGCGCAGATGCATCCACTCCTTGTGACTTATGATCTCCAATGAAACTGTTTTGTTCTTCGTTATTACTATTCCTTAGTCTCACACCTCTGCTCACTGTTTCTATTATGCTTTTCTTTTGCTTTCTTCTCTTGCTTTGTGTGCTATGCGGAGTGTGGCGACTTGAACTTCCACACATTTGTGCAAAGTTCTATGTCGAAAACAGACAGATAGAAATCAGGGTTTTCTATCCGGATCGCCAAGGTCTCCGCGAAGCAAAGTATACGGAAGCTTACCGTTTTTGAGAGGCTTCTTTTGACTTTGTATATGACTTTGAGTGAATTCCCTGGGCATATTGAGTGACCAGTGTTGAGTATATGTTCAATTATACCACTTCTTATTGATCCAATGTTACCTCTTCGTAGCCAAGCGAGATATTGTCCTTTGACTCTTTTAGACAAAACACGCATCAAACGACCCATAGATCTCGCTACACATGAGCAGGTAAATTGGTAGGTAGATGAAGACAGAAGTAGTCAAATGCAATAGTATATCTTTGGAGTTGTTGAGGAACAATGGGCGACTTGAGAATACCAGTCGTAATGTAGCAGCAGAGAATGCTTCTTTCGGGGCGTTAGATATTCTTCTCTTTAAGATTTCGGCTAGAAGGTAGTCTTTAAACACCACATTCATGCATAGCATTTTCTTCGGCACAGAGATGGGTTGTTCTTTGTTGATTTTCAACCTTATGTGTTTATCTATAAAGCCTGGTCAATGGCCATTCTCAAGTAGTGTCTTTTTCAAAAGTGTGATCTATTCTTTGACTGATTCGGGGCTGCATATTCTACGGATTCTAGTCTCAAGATATACTATCAGGTCCCGCCTGCAACTGGTGGGCACTCAAATGTAAAAGTTTGCCAGTTGGCCGTTCCACGTAGGCTTTCAATATATTGATCTCTTTAGGATCCTATCAGTCTTCTCCGGTTTCTGCCTCAACTGTATATTTGATGGCCGGATGGCACAGATGATAAAAGTGTCATTTTCGACGTACCTATTGTACAGAGAGGAGTTGTCAACTGTTGGTTTTAACGGACCATTTTCCATACTTGCCATGAAATAAGGTTGTTAGGCTAGAGGGTGTTTTCAGATTAAGATCAGAGGAACTATTGTTGGTCCTTTAAGGCTTATTGTTCGATTATGCGTGTTCCATCAGCACCGACCGCATTAAATAAGATGTATTTATTAGCTGGATAGTAGCAATTGATAGTGGTGTGTGCTTTTCAGAATTTCTCCAAGATTTTGAGGAAGAAAAATTCTAAATTAAATACGTTTGGCATCATACTGGAAAAAGTAGGGGTGTTGAGTTGTTCGTCTACTCTATTACTTTCTAATGGGTTGAATGGAAGGGCTCCTACTCCTTTCAAAACAGACAATAAGCTGGCTCTACTATTATTTGGGTGTCCATTTAAAGTCTTGTATAAATTACAGGTCACTAAAAATTTCTGCCCTGCCTGAGATTTTGCACACTTTAAATCGAAGTTGTAATTTTGAATGTTCCAGTACTGTAGTAATCCCAATGAATATCCTTTAACTTCTTAATATGCTGTTGTGAGTAATCTTTAAAATTACAAATCAAAGATCCTACTTTCTCATTTTTAACCCTCCTTTATTAGTCATTGTTTGATCTGCATTGCTTTGGTCAGTGTACTACTTAAGTTTTTGTTTATACTGGTGAAGCAATTGAGAAATAGTTGTCAAGGCATTCTTGATTTAAGGTAAAGGTAAATCTCCAATTAGATTCAGTTCAATGTGGTACTGTGAAGCTATCTATTATTCACGACGTTGTAAGAGTAGTCATTTATGCTGAAATAACTCATCACTCGTAATATCAACAGGAAAGTTCACTAGTTGTCAAGTGCCCGCTACTATATTTAGTGATTGTAAATTTTGTTTAGGTTAGATAATGATAGTAATCACAATACTAACAGTAACATTAATAACGATATGCATGTCAAATATGCTAAGACAACACCAACAATAAGGAATATAAATCATCAGTAGTAATTCCATACAAACCTCGGAAACCCTACGGAGGATAACTCTTAACAAGGCAGGAACAAAAGTGCTTGGCATTCAAACCCACCCACAAACTCAATTAGAAACAGGCTTTGTCTGTTAGAGGATCATGCCAGTGGAGCCTTTAGAACAAAACAATTTAGTTTATCTAATGCCCTGCCTGAGATGAATGTCAGGTCAAATACAGAGGTCAAAGTAGTAGAACAGGGTCAGTCGGTCAGATTAGCCAAGGATAAAAACGTAGCAAAATCTACATTAGTTGACCCGAACAAGATAAGAAATCTAGAGAATAGTTCAGCTACAGCACTCACTACATGCAATTACACACAACGACACAATAGGATGGGGTGAGATACGATGACAGTTTCAAAATCTAATACAACTGACATGGTGGAGGGAAAGATTGATAATAGAAGCTTTGTTTATCGAATCGACTGAGAGTCAGCACGTGTAATAGGAATGATTCAACACCTGTCCACTCAGATATCTGGAATATTCTAACGACGACAAATAAAGAAGACAAAGAGAACTTTAAAACTCAAGTTTCGAAGTCGTTTGATTATAATTGATGAAATGATTATGAACAATAATGAATTGTGTTTGAAACTTTCTCATCCAGTAAATAATAATACTGTTTCACTGATTGTGTGATATATCTAACAAACAAACTAATATAGAATTGTATATTTAGGCTATAGTTTTCATGGTCCTATCGCGACTTCTTCGTTTAAAACCTTCAAGAAGGAAATTTCCATGAAGCTAACTGCCTGACATTTCATCATTTTGCAACCGACCTAGTTGAAATGGTAGCAACTTCAGGACCAAACTTTCCAAGCAATATAGATAGGAAAGACCATGGTAACTGTAAAGCCTGACTAACACATAAAGCAACACTTACTACTGCAGCGTCGAGTGCAAGGTAAGATGGAGAAGTCAATCGACGAGGCTGTGAAATTACAACGACTAAGATGGTTAGGACATGTGTTACGTATGCCTAGTCATCGCCATCCTCGACGGGCAATGTTAGCTGGTATAGGGTCAGGCTGGAAATGAGCTAGCGGCGGTCAAACCAAAACATCGCCTCATCAGTCAACGAAATCCACAACAGTTAGTCTAAGCCACGTAGGAAGGTGTAGACTTCCTGGTTGGGGTCCTCGTGACGTTAAAAACCAACGCAATGGGTCTGAACACAACAAAACACATGGATAACATATAACGATCTTATTATGTGTGACCATAGCCCAGTCTAATAGCCTACCAATCAGGATTTGAAGTGTATGAATAATGACCATATATATTAGTAAGATTAACGAGCAGTCAAATTCCGCCACTTTGATATGCACTTAGTGATTGAACTAAACCGTTGTGTGATTAGTTTTCATGAGACTAATTGGAATTACTATTACTGTTGTAATTATACCATAGTGTGAATTTTCGAATTACCAATTTGAATAAGAGAAACCTATTGCTAATAACTGTGTATTAATTGGAGGAAACTGAAAGAAACAACCTACCTGGGAAGCATCGTTTCAATTACAGGCGGGTAGAACTGACGAGGATATCAAAGCAGCGAGGAACGGGAAAGCAAGGCAAGCTTTCATTACTCTCAAGTGTATGTGCAGATCAACAGCACAACTCAGCATGAAAATTAAGATCCGGATTCTGAACTCCCATGTGAATTCAGTGCTACTTTATGAATTAGAGACTTGGCACCGCGTCACAAAGGCCACTTCGAACAAACTACAGACCTTAATCAACAGCAGTCTCCGCCTAATACTACTCAAGATCAGATGGCCGGCCAGAAAACATCAGCAACAGGAAGGGATCTATGGCAATAAACGAACCAACGCATCAGGAACCAATCGTGGAACAAATATGCAGGAAGAAATGGAGGTCGATTGGAAAACCATCAAGTAACACCACATGACAGGCTCTCTCTCTAGTGGAACTGGAACGGAAAGGGGCGATTTGGTCGCCAGTATGAGGGTGACATGGAGTGGAGGAAGTCATTCGAAGAGGAGATGAAAGCATGTGGGCAGACGTGAAGCCAGGTGATGAAAACGTTGGCATAGAACCGAACGCAGCGGAGGTGAGTGGCTGAAACCCTATGTTCCTCTAGGAATTAAAGGAAACACTAAAAACTGTGCTGTATGAGTATTTCTTAACTTAAATAATTTCGCGTAGAGTATACCAAAGGATGGTTATTGAACAATCTAATCAAAAAATAGTCTACATAACACGGAAATACTTCAAATAACTGCTAAATCTACCATATAGCCCAAACAACTTACGGAGAAATTGCAATTACACAAGCACCATCTGGAAGTCCACTTTTCTGTCCTGCCAAACTTCTTGTAAGCTGATGTACAGCAGCTTTAGCCATTCCATACGCCAGCATACCTAAGAATAAAAGGCTTCATTTTATCACCGAAAAAAATAATACACAAAAACGATGCATATAGAAATAAAAGTAAACGAATGTGGGATATCACAGAAGTTAATAAGCATACTGTATACGAAATAAAAATTCTCTCTGTTATAAAGCCTGAAAACCATTATTTGTCTTAGCTCTCCACTTCATAGAGACCAGATCTCAGATTCAAGTAGTGGAATTGCCTATAGGTGGACGAGTGTTTCAGAGTCAATAGAAATTCAGTGAGTGTAGCTCACAAAAAATCCCTTCCATGGAGCTTGCCTATCCATAATTCGCCTCCAGGAGAACTAAAAATACTCCCGAAATAAGTTCACAAGTCTGAAAAGAATTTGCAACAGAAAAAGACTTGTTAGCACTTCGCTCTTATCATCCAAGCTATAGCACCGTTAACAGAGATTTAATGACCCCATTCCTATTTCACACTCGACAGAATTATTAAACTGATCGAAGCAAAATAAATGGCGTAATTGAATCGTAAAATTTTGAATTCTGGAACTATTTGTCTCGAAAACGCACTGACTTATTTAACTTCATCAAAAACAGGGATAGAAGGCATACAACTCACTCTACATCCTTCCCAGTAAGTATCTGTGCTCGGCCGATCTACTCCTCAGCAGGTCGATTGAGAGTGTAGACACAACTACTTTTTGGGATTGGCTCCAAAAGTTTTATGAGACTTGTTTTAATACTGAAAATGTTGGCCCTAGGTGCATTTTGAGAGCATAAAAGGTACAATGTAAACTGATAAATTAGTTGAAGAATCAGTCATCTATAGCGATGTACTTCCATTTTGGATTTTCAATGTTTGCTGACCTCCTATGAGATATTAAAACCTAGAGCAACAAGCTTTTTAAGAAAAGTACCATTTAAAATCTCTAATTCTGCTCAACAATTGAAGTTTGCAGCCAACATGTACACAACACACCTCAACTTCAGAAGAATAATAAATCTGGGTATAAAACATATTCATTACCTGGAGTGGCTTGTAAAGCTGCATGTGCTCCAGTAAGTAATAGTAGACCGTTAGGTGAAAGATGACTCGAAGCTAATGATGCAGCAGTACATGAGGACCAGACGCACTTCTTCCACATAACATCACAATTTTCCAAAAAGTCTATAAGTATTTAGGTAATGATCATTCTTGTATACCTCGATGAGCAGCATTGCCTCCAACCCACCCACCAGCAACACAAAATATGCCGTCTAACTTCTGATCATTTAGAACTCTATTTAAATCGCTCTTCATGAGTTTTTCCTGTGCTGAACAAGTATCACAATCACTAATAAGAATATTTGCATCAGCTTCAGAATTTTCTCTGAAATCGACTGAGCAAACCCACTAAGCAAAATTAAATCAATCAATTCTAAGACGTACTAATCCTTTGCTCTTAAAGTGTTTCAAACACGTAGAACCTAAAGCACCACGACCACCAAACAGCAACACACGCTTACAGGACATGATACAGAAAAGGCAATCGACCTTGATACTGAAAAATAAAAGTCGTTGAAACAAGCTAACAAAAGTACTCATAATCAAATAACAACTGCATAAACTCACATAGTTTTGCCTTAAATTAAGTAGGAAGAATAGACTTCCCCATTTCATTTTTTATTTATTATCCCGTAAACTAACCAGTAAAGCCTAATTATTTATTGGTCCTGGTAGATCAGTTATAAATCTTCTTTGGATTCCTGTGTAGTCATTGCCGACGCTTGATTGTCATTGGCTTGGTGAAAAATAAGAGTGTTAGGAGGTTTATTAAGTCAGAAGGGCATCTTTTGATCTGCTTTAAGACAGTAATCTTGGTATGATCATACTTCATCTTATGATTAGTTAGTCATTCGATGTCACTGAGGAGATGGGCGTTATGAAGGTAATGATTCTTGTGACATTCAGAGTGGTTGTGGAAAGAAAAAAGGAGCAGGGTATCTGAAAAAGTAGTCTAATTACCCACTATAATGACAAATGACTTTTAACCTCCAAGCTTCAATTTAGTTGACATAAAAGCATACGTAGCATTTTGTTATTCCCCTGGGTTCATAATGGAACATTTGGCTTTCACATGACGTTTTCCCTTTGTCCCATTCTCTGCAGCTCCCTTGGCTAAATTTGCAATCACCCACAAGCTCTCATATCACACGATCTCCTTTATCACACACGCGGATGACAAAAACGTTTTTCTCGCTCATCGTTGCACGTAGTACTAAAGTTCTGAGTCTATTTCCAATCCATCTTCATTTTCTTCTGCTAATACGCTGGGCCTAAATTTTTGTGTTTTCGTTGCTGTATTTCCATGCTGCTATGTTTAATAACTGGTCATCCAGTCTATATTATCGAGTGGAAACAGCCATTGAAAATCGTCTGTGACCTGTTGGAAATGCGCTGCGTGAGGTCCCAACCTCTGGACCATCAAGAATAAGTGACTTGACAGTAGTGTTAAAAATCATAACCTCATTCTCTAAACTGAAGGCGGAAGATTTCCAAACTGATTTCTGAGTGATGAATGCTTCTCTGACCGTAATGGCTGGCTCTGACATCCTATTCTGTGCCGCCTGTAGCTAAAGGGATGCTAACTGGAAAAGTTAAAGAAGTAACTTCTCTTAAATTTCTCCCGACGAAAGTGATCAGTGCTTGCTGTTGTTGGTGGATTATTTTAGTCACTTTCGCCTTCTCCATCTTAATTTGATTTCCTGTCTTTGATGCTTCCTCTGCCAAGTGTTTACTCTCTCCTTTAGGTCTTCGATTTTGCGTGAGTTTGGAAACAAACCACCCGCGAAATCAAGATCCTCTACGGCCTCCTTCCAGGCCAAACGTATTCTTGCCTACTAGCTCCCCACAATCTAGACTGTTACAACTATTTTCGGTGACTGTAGGCAGCCCCGTCATATTCCTGTCTTCACCTCATACGCTTCACTGAGTTCTTAGGCTGTAAGCAGATGACGAGAAGCCAATGAAATAAATGATGGTACCATGTTTTTCTGCACAAACCACTGTTGTTCTCGCTTTATTCAAATTCATCAAGGGGAATAAATGCATGATGTGGATCAGTTGACATGAGCCATTATCATATAGCCAGCTGTTGAATGAACTTGATAAAGAGTTTGGAACTGCACGCCGTAGTGTTGAATTAGTTTCCAAACAACTGCTCTGTAAACGCTGCCTGTCGAAGGCACTTTCGATTTCCATGAAATTGTTGAGGTAGTGGTTTGACTGCATTCTTTTCTTTGTTCTGTGATGATGAAGCGTAAAGCTGTGATTTGATCAGCACATGATTTGCGTTTCCCGAAACCAGTTTGTTCCGGTTGACGGAGTTCTGTACCCACTGTAGATGACTTATATTTTCTCTTATTTGTGTGATTATTACAAGTTTCACATAAATAAAAGAGAATATAAATCATCTACAGTTATACCATATAAAGAGGGGACTCTGAAACCCTTCGTAGGATTCTAAATAAAGCAGGAATTAGGGTGGCATTTAAACCTACAAACTCACTCAGGGACAAGCTCTGTAGGTTAAAGGACACAGTTGACCCAATTAGAGAAAATAATATAAATGCAAAATACCCTGAAAATGACTGTGAGGTCAACTACATAGGTCAGACGAGTAGGTCTGGGGTAGCCAGATTGTCAGAACATAAGAATTCAGCTAAGGTAAGAATGGTTGACCCGAAAGATAAGTAATTTAGAAAAAGCTCAGAATTGCAATGCAGCGTCGGTGGCACAGCGGCTAGGACGCTCGCCGACCATGCACATGGTCCGGGGTTCGATCCCCGGCCGACTCACTCCTTTACCTCGTTAAGCCAGGAATATTGCTGTTGAAGGGGAAAGGTTGAGCATGAGGCTAGCAACCCCGTCCTGTAAAATTAAACACTGCTACATAAAATTCAAGCCCTCAGCTCGAAACTTTGTGTTCCACTGGAAACGTGAAGGAATAAAAAAATTGCGATGCATGCATTAATACACAACCACACAACAGGGTGGGAGAGGGCTAAAATTCTAAAAAGCAATCTAGATAGGTGGAGAGAGCGGTTGATTACTGAATCCTTGTTCTTCGAGTCTACACCCAACATATGCAATAGGAATGAGTCATCACTCATACCTGAAATATGGAAAATACCACTGCCAATGAAATCAAGTGAAAAATAATGGAACTATATAAATTAAGTTAGGAAGTCATGTGAGTACCTTGATATGATTATGAGCAATAAATTGCGCTCGAAACGTCGTCAGGAGTCATCCCTTGTATTTTTGTCCTTCAGTTTCTGATTATTGAACTTGAATTTCGGACTGTCCCCAGTTGCTCGGAAGGCCCCCAGCTTGACTGTGAAGGTTTTTTGAATTAGATGATGGACTAAGCCGTTGTCTGCCACCCTTTACTTCTCATCCCGCAAGCTGCGTCTAAATTTTCTTGAGACTCAGATGAAATCCATATGGGTTTTGGAGTTTCCATCAGACGAAGTCCATGTTATCTTTAGTATATCCATGTATTTGCACATGCTGCCTTCGATCGCCGAATCAATCAGTGCACATAAGACTGAGAGGAGTTCTCCGTTCTCATTCACCTCGCCAAAATCATAGGGATCCATTATGAGTTCTCTTCTTGTATTGTCTTCCACTGTAGCATTTGCATCGCCCATTAGGATTTTTGTGTCTCAATTAGGGATCTTATCTAATCCTGACCAGATCCAATATGTAGAGACGTAAATGGTTATGATACTCATCGATGACCTGCCATTTCAGGGGAACCTGGAGGTTCCATTGGTCAGGATAGGTCGTTGTTCAATGCAAACGTCAGCCTCCTCCAAGGGCACTGTCTATATTTATAAAAATAAATTTAATTTTGACTTTGCGGGAACACAACGGTTATACAGATAAATGTGATCAATACTTAAACTAAATTGCAGTTGTTTGTGACTTTAGTTTGCAGGAACAATCTGCTAACTAGTCGGGTAACGTTGCACACTAAGAAATGTATATTTTCTTCGCACTAACAAAAGACCCAATGTCTGTAATGGACGGATCATGAATACCAGGAAGAAAGTAAAGCTTGAAGCCAAAGTTCCTAAATAGGTTTTCTGCGAATGGCGTCGAAACTTTTGAGAATGTCAACAAGTAAAATAAACAAATTTTTTCTCATAATACAGTACATGAGGGAGGCCAGTTTACAGGCATCATCAAATCGTTACAGAAATAGAACCATATAATTCAGTCAAAATTTACAGACGGTAGCACGATATGTTTTACATGTACGCTGGAGATTATACATACACTTGATAAATTAATTCAAGTAGTGTAAAACAGCGTTTTGACATATGTATAATCATTTCGGTGAACAGTTGAAAAATATTCCTAGATGGTAAGTCAGTGAAAAACGCCAGGAAATAGAGCAAGATTGCATTCGAATTAACAAAAAAAGCAAAGCGTAACCCACGTATCGTAAACCGTTAACGCCCAGCTCATCCTACGCTGGGACTCACGCTGTCCCTCGAAGCTTCTCAGAAACGCTTAGTACGAACGGACGCAAAAACCAGAACACAGATTGGCCACTCGAGAATTCTTTATTCTAACACCAACATTTCGATAACTTTGCAACTAACGTCTATGAACAAATATTACAATAATAAATCACAATATTACTTCTCACGGTTTTGTACGTGATTTCTGAACGTCGACCGATGAGACGATGGCTGGTGTATTGATGCCTCCGCGAAAATTGGGGAAGTTGGGTTTGAGCAAACAACCATGGATTGATCGTTCAATCTTCAACTACATTGACACTCCGGCAAAAAGGGGTCCATCCCTTTTTTCCATCACGACCAATACACGTTGACTTGGGTGCCATTGCGAGAACCTGGGTCACACGGACAGAGCTGAAATGGAAAACAAACAGAAAAGCCAACACACCACAAGCATACCCACAGCACAATCTCACACATCGATGACGACCTGCACCTCCAGAAAAAGGCCTCCTCCTGACATGTCGCATTACAATCGCCACTTGCTAGAATGACTCTTGCAGAATGCAACGTGACCATAGCAGCACCTCATGATACTCCACGCACGTCCTCGTATCTATTCACTACGAATTACCACTGCAATCGCTTGTCACTCATTCTGCCTCAGTTCTAGTAGCGGTGACGTATGCGAGCCCCAGTCGTTTTCACTCTTTCGCCCCGGCGTGTGGGACCGCAGCTAACAATTATCTCCGTATGCATTTCATTCTCAGCGATAGCCTCCCCAGCGTATACGACCCATCTGCTGTCTCTAACATCAATCAATTCATTCATGAACGTAGAAGACTAGAAACAACTTCAGAAGTAATCACGACGAAAATTTTAACAAAATTATGCAATAACATTAAGGTACGAAAACAACGAGTAAACACAATTAGTCCGAAATCACAAATTGAGAAGACACACCACACGCATACACAAACAGTACAAATAACCTCGCAGATC